CCACGCTGGTTTGCCAGCTAGGTAAGTAAAAAAAAACTTTACGCAAAGTTTTTAAGCTCGTGCAAGTTTTTTTTTAATTAAGGGGTCCAAGCTGCAGACTTATTCCTGACATGCGTTTATGCGCCACCGATGAGTAACTCATTGAGTTAGTCAACACCCGCACACGTGCCCGATGATCGGACCGATCCCCGTTCGAGCGGCCTCATTTTGCATTTTGCTCTCCACCCAGCAACTCCAAGCAACCGACTACAACAACAACCAATATGCCCACCTCTCCGAGAACCGTGCACGCCTACGCCTCCTTCGGCAAGGGCGAAGAGATCAAATCCTGGGAGTACCAGTCTCGCCCGCTCGGCGCCGAGGACGTCGAGATCAAGATCTCGCACTGCGGCATCTGCGGCTCCGACCTGCACACGCTTGACAGCGGCTGGGGACAGACCACGTATCCGTGCGTGGTGGGACACGAGATCGTCGGCGAAGTGACGCAGGCTGGTCCCGACGTCAAGGGCCTGCAGGTCGGCGACCGTGTGGGTGTCGGAGCGCTGGTGTCGGCGTGTCTGAACAAGGACCCCAAGGCTCCGTGCTCCGTGTGCGCCAATGGTGACGACGCGTATTGCCCGCACCGCGTGTGGACATACAACGACAAGTACAAAAGCGACGGCGCTCTCACGTACGGCGGATACGCCGACTACGTGCGTGTGCCGCACGAGTTTGCGATCAAGATCCCGGATGACATTCCGTCGGACGTGGCTGCTCCTCTGATGTGTGCCGGCACGACGGTGTTCACGCCGTTTAAGGAAGCCGGCATCAAGGAGGGTGACCGTGTCGGCATCGTGGGCATTGGCGGCCTGGGCCACATTGCCATCCAGTTCGCCAAGGCTATGGGTGCCGCCTCCGTGACGGCGTTCTCTCGCTCCAACAACAAGGAGCAGGAGGTGCGTGGCCTGGGAGCCGACGAGTTCGTGGTGTACACGGACGAGAAGCAGGCGAATGCGGCCGTCGGCTCCGTGGACATCCTGCTGATTACGGCCGATGCCAACAACATGCCGTACAGCACGTTCCTAAGCTTCCTGTCCGTGCGCGGCACGTGCATCATGGTGGGTCTTCCAAACGATGACATTAAGTTCAACGCGTTCCAAGTCGTTGGGAAGGGCGCCAAGTTTGTGGGCAGCAACGTGGGCAGCATCCAGGACATGAAGGACACGCTCGAGGTGGCGTCCAAGCACAATGTTCGTCCGGTGATCCAGAAGCTGCCGATGGCCAAGGTGAACGAGGGCATCGACATGGTGCGCAAGGGCACGGTGCGCTACCGCGTGGTGCTCGAGAATTAGGTCTGTAAGCTTAGAGAGGAGGATGCATTCGTGCACGTGATGATAGTTTCCCCATGCAATAAAATACAAGTAGCAATTTGTGCTTTTATGAAGAAAAAGAGAAATAAGATATTCTATTGAACCGATATTAGTAGATGCCTGGTAAAGTTTAAGACGTTGTCTCAACTTGGGCTCTTTCTGCTATAGCGTTTGTGCTATTGAGTACCAGTCCAGGGCCAGGCAAATGCAGCCACCGAACGACTCACATGTCAACTGGAATGTTATTGAAGAGCCAAGTTTTATCGATTCGCGTGGGCACCCGTGTTCGCAGCGTTCGCCAGACCTCGACTTGTTACTGTAGCGCTGCGACAGCCGAAGCCGAC